TCAACCTTTCCGTCCACACACCATTTGCACGAATTGGATGAGCCATCTCCACCACACCGAGAGCACCATAAAGTATCGTTCTCCCGTCCGGGGAACCCATACTTCTTCTTGACCAAAGTCGGATATTTCTTTACCATGTCTGCCAGGATATCTGGCACTTTACTGTCCTCAAGATCATGTTTCGCCTGTAGCGTGGAAAGCGCCGCCAGCAGCATGGTTGACGGTTGGTTCAATATCCCCTTACGCTCATACTTCTCGTTACCCAGATTCTTGCTCAGATCGTACTGAACCACACCGCCGAAGGTTTTGTCAGGCTGGCTGATCACCACGTCTCCGAGACGGATGTCCAGTTCCTTTGACAGATTAGGGATGCCGCCTCCAATTCCCACCATCAATCCGAACCGCAGTGCCTTGAATGTCCTCAACATGTCATTGGCCACACGAGCGGCTGCGTTCGTCCCGTACATACCGGCCGGTAGGCAGGCAATAACCACATTGTGCTCGTGAATGCGACCCAGAACATAGTTATTGGAGTCGAGTTTGTCTTGACGTGAAATCGGCTGATGCTCCTCATCTAGGGTGGCGATCGCCGCCGTCATCTCATGACGGAGAGCGCACACCACGCCCACCTGATATTCCTCGATCGGGAGCGAAGGCTTGTGGTCATGATGAGGGTGCTTCGGGGAGAGGGAGATTATCGAGAGGAGGACGAGAGAGGCGGGAAGGGTCGATGAGCAATTCGGCTGAAGAAAGGTGGCAGGGCTGAAAGGCGAGATTCTCAGGCTGAAAACAGGTTGAGGGGATCGCCGACAGTATGGCTGCGATGAGGCTGATCACCACCAGAATACTATGTCCCTCAGGCTGAGGCTGCGATTGAAACGGAGTCGTTGCTCCATGCAGAGTGGCGCAGAACATTGGACGACGGCGACAGGGTATTCACCCTGGGAAATCTAGTCGACGCGCCCACATGGCGGAACAGATGGTGGAACTCACCCATAGCAGGTTTAGGTGGCATGCATGCGAAGTGGTCACCGTCGAGCTGGTGGCTACTGAGCGCTTAGGTTCAGCCAGTGGTTGAGGGCGAAAGCTGCGAACCATGGGGGCACATAAGGAACTTTTCTGAATTGCAAAAGTCACGTGATTTGAACCTAATGAACCTAACTGGTTAGAACAGGATGTGCACTTCCTAACGCAACACAGAACACATGAAGAACACTATTTTTACACGACGACCAGCCAGTTTTCCTATCCGTTTAGCTCTGATGCTGCTTGTCACTGCAGGACCGAACAATATCCCATCGAACCTGGAGCCTCAATCTCACGGGTGGCTTTCACTGCTTCTTCTAGCCTTGGTCATTTGCCTTGGGTTTCATTCGATGCTCACTTTCGACGCTTGTGTCCTCCCCGAGCCTCTTGGGCGTCTCGCTTTTGTTGTGCTTGCACGATATCGTCATAGCCCATCATACCACTTTTGATATTTAAAGTGAGCGAGAGGAAACACAAGGACTGGTCCACAAAACAGGGTTCTGATTGATCAAGCTTGCACTGTGCTCACTGCGCCCAACCGACTGAAATGGTAACCAAAATTACAGCCCACTCATCTCATAGCATCAATGCGATTGCCAAAAAATGCCCTTGCTCTTGACCCTTACGGGAGACAGCATTCTGAAGCCTTTGTGTGTTACATTCCTTAGTCTTTACCATCTCAAACTGAACCTGCTGGTTGCTTCCTAGGTATTAGAAAACCTGTCAACCTTGGAATAGTAGAATTTCCTGATACTAATCCGACTTCAATCCTGTGTCCCTGTATAGCTGATTCTCATTCCAGTCGCACAAAGGGCGATCGCTTGGCATACACCTTTTGGCTTTTCAGCGCCCCAGTCCATTCTTGTTCCGTGATACTAAAGTCATTGCTGTGCATGAAGATCACAAAGGCATTCTCCTTCTCTGAAGTAACCAGATCCGTAGGAAACCGTAATCTCCTGACCATGTCGGATATCAACCTGTGCTATCACCATCATCCTATACTTTCCTGATATGATCATACCAATGAAGCGTGCGGACGGTCTGCAGGCGTGATTACAGAGTCTAAAGCAATTCCCCTGATCCCCACAGTAGATCTGACATACCTCGGATTCCATAGGGAGATCCTTTCTCTTGACCTCGACACTCCACCCATCAGTCTGGCTCTGCAAGGGCTTCAGCACTGCGACGAGCTCACCAATAATATCACCCGCCTTGTATACTAGCCTATCTGGAGCAGATGCAACCGCTTGGAGCCCACGTCCTTTGGCACCATAGTCTTTGATGCGAGGCATGACGCGATACGCGCTGTGAATGCAGTCGCAACTAGGCTTGTGGCATATTTCACACTGATCCGTTCGAGGGTCCACCCACATCGGTTCAGGCCACGGCCATCCTTCAGGCCATTCGTCAGGCCTGGGCCATACCGAATCATGGTCCATTATATTTTCCATGATCGCCGGAAACGGTTTGATCAGCGAGAGTACTTCCTGCTCGGCAAGGTCTCTCAGGATTGTCAACGACAACT